TGTGCTTCCCTTTTGAACATAAATTCCAATTCCAAACCGTATCTTTGTGAATACATAAAACTAAATGCTTTCAACAGTACCCAAGTTACCTCTGGAATGCTTTGTTGCTTGGAAATGTCTTCTGTCAGATGTCCTACATCATCTCTCTCAAGTTTGAAGTTCCACAAATCTCTAGGGCAGGAGCAAAATGCCACCCTAGCAAAAGTCACCTTTGCTTCAGTTCCCAGGTTCCTCATCTCCATCTGAGACCACCTCAACCTGGACTTTACTGTGCATATCACGATCAACATTTTGGTCAAAGCCATTCAACAAATCTCTAGGATGTTCCAAACTTTCCCACATCTTCCTGCCTTCTGAGACCTCCAAACTGCCTGTTACCCAATTCCAAAGTCACTTTCACATTTTTAGGTATCTATACATCAGCACCCCACTCTACCAGTACTGTATCAGTCTGTTCTCATCCTGCTAATAAAGACATACCTGAGACTGAGCAATTTATGAAGGAAAGAGATTTAACTGACTCACAGTTCCACATGGCCGGGGAGGCCTCACAATCATGGCAGAAGTTGAAGGAGGAACAAAGGCATGCCTTACATCATGTCAGGCAAGAGAGCTTGTGCAAGGGAACTCCCCTTTATAAAACCATCAGATCTTATGAGACTTATTCACTATCACAAGAACAATACAGGAAAGACCCACTCCCATGATTCAATTACCTCCCACTGGGTCCCTCCCATGACAGGTGGGAATTATGGGAGCTACATTTCAAGATGAGATTTGGGTGAGGACACAGGCAAACCATATCACACTCTCATAGAAACAACCAGAATAATGGTTTACCTGTCTAATTTTTTTTCGAGACAGAGTCTTGCTCTGTCACCTAGGCTGGAGTGCAGTGGTGTGATCATAGCTCACTGCAACTTTGACCTCTCAGGCTCAAGTGATTCTCCTATCTCAGCCTCCCGAGCAGCTGGGACTAAAGGAGTCCAGGTAATTTTTTAAAGATTTTTTATAGAGATGAGGTCTCACTATGTGGTCCAGGCTGGTCTTGAACTCCTGGGCTCAAGCAATCCTCCTGCCTCAGTTTCCCAAAGTATTGGGATGACAGGAGTGAGCCACCAAGCTGAGCCTCATAGCATCTTAACTAATATCCCTACTTCTATCACTGTTTGCCTGCAGTTTACTCTCAACCCAGTAGTGAAAGTAATTATTTAAAACAGAAGTCAGTATGAGACAAGAACTATGACAGAAAAATAAAATAAATAAAATAGAAGTTGGGTCATGTCACTGTTCTGTTCACAATCCTCCAATGGCTCCCCCTTGTTTCACTTGGAGAAAAGCCAAAGTCATTGCCATGATATGTAAGACCCTACACAACCTGGTCCCCAGTACTCTCTGCTCTCATCCCTGATCTCTCTCCCCTTTGCTCACTCTACTCTATCCACACTGGCCTCCTTGCTCTTATTAAGAAAGCACTTCAAGTTTGCTCCCATCTTAGGGCCTTTGCACCAGCCATCTCCTCTAAGATTATCTAGTGCTATTCTTCCCTAAGATCTCTCATAGCTACTCCCTTACCTCCTTCAAGTCTTTGAGAAAGTGACATCAGGACCACCCTACCACCCCAATCACCCTATTTGAATGTACATACAACCTGTTCCTACTTTGCTCCCTTACTCTTCTTTTCTCTGTGCCACTTATCACCGTTGAACATACTGCAAAATCTATTTGATCACCTTTCTCAATCCTTGTGATGTAGGGAGGGGTTGTCTTGTTTTCAAAGCCTTGTCAATCATTGTAATACATTCTTCCAGCTACTATAAAAAAGATGAAAGAGGCCGGGCATGGTGGCACACACCTGTAATCCCAGCACGTTGGGTGGCCAAGGACGGAGGATTATGAGGTCAAGAGATCGAGACCATCCTGGCCAACATGGTGAAACCCCATCTCTACTAAAAACACAAAGATTAGCTGAGCATGGTGGCGTGTGCCTATAGTCCCAGATACTCAGGAGGCTGAGGCAGGAGAATTACTTGAATCCGGGCAGTGGAAGTTGCAGTCAGCCGAGATCACGCCACTGCACTCCAGCCTTGCAACAGAGTGAAACTCCATCTCAAAAACAAAAAAGAAAAGAAAGAGGTTTTTTTGTTTGTTTGTTTGTTTGTTTGTTTGTTTGTTTGTTTGTTTTTGAGACAGGGTCTCACCCTGTCACCCAGGCTGGAGTGCACTGGCATGGCTCACTGAAGCCTCAACCTCCTGGGCTCAAGCAATCCTCCCACTTTAGCCTCCCAAGAAGCTAGGACCACAGGCATATGCCAATATTCCTAGCTAATTTTTGAATTTGTAGTAGAGATGAAGTCTCACTATGTTGCCCAGGCTGGTCCTGAGCTCTTGGGCTCAAGCAATTCTTTCACCTGGGCCTCCCAAAGTGCTGGGATGACAGGTGTGAGCCACGGTGCCTGGCCAGAATAATTTTTGAACAAACATTTTGGCACTAGGGTCTAGCCAAATTGACATGTAAAATTAACCATTTCAGTTTCTGTAGGTAGTAAGTTTAAAACAAAATGAGTTCCTGGCCAAGCCAAAATGAGGAATCAGAGCCTTTTGGCCCTTTTAGGGAAGGCCTAGTCCCTGCCTTTTCTGAAGAGTTAGCAGCAGTTAAATGGCTTTCCTAAGGGCACACTGTGCCTTGGCATTAGTCTAGAGATTTGTAAAAGTTAGGATTCTACACTATGTGACTATTCTCTTGTCCTACAAATTAACTGAATGACATGTGGGTACCCATATCAGTCTCCCGTGCACTTTAATTGGACTAAATATCTTAGGATCATATCAGCTCTGGGCAGGGTCAGCATCATGGGTACCTGTGCAGTCACTCAGGGCCTACATTAAGAAGCATCCCGTATTTGGTTTAATGCCCTGCTGTTGCCATCCTGAAATTCTTAATATGTTTTTTTAAACAAAGAGGGTGGCCTAGGAAGGTCATGGATGCAATACAGGACTGATATTACACCCTTTTCAGGTTTGAGTCTGATCTAAATAGTCTCCAACCTAAACAACTAGGAGTATTACTAAATTGCCTGTTGGCCTTCATTCTTTGCAGGCAGGAGAAAGGCTGGGTACCCCCTGTCTCATTACACCAAAGTGGCCAGGCATTCAACTTGCTGTGCTTGAGACAGGCAAGTAGTCACAGAATCATTGTGCAGGTTTTGAGGAAAGGAGCCTAAAGCCTAAGTCAATTTCCTGGAATACTAAATTCCAGATGAGTTACTTGCCTAGTGTTACCCAATGAGAGGTTAAATGGGATGATACACGTAAAGTGCCTGGCAGACAGCAGTATACAGAGTTGCCTATGAATAAGAGTGCTGACCATCTGAGACAAGAGGATCATTTTAGCCCAGGTGTTCGAGACCAGCCTGGGCAATATAGTGAGACCTCCCCTCAACAAAAAATTAAAAATTTGGTCAGCCATGGTGGCTTGTGCCTGTGGTCCCATCTGTTTAGAATGCTGAGATGGGAGGATGGACTGAGCCCAAGAGGTGGAGACTGCAGTGAGCCATGATCCCTCCACTGGTCTCTAGCCTGGATGAGAGCAGGACTCTATCTCACACAAAAAAAATGCTGACCAGACTATTCAGCTGCAGGTTCTTAGCATCATACACGCTGGCTGTCTGTTGATTATACCAACTCCTTTGAATGGCTGTCAAATTTAAAATTTTCACTTGTGGAATGAACATCCCTTAACCCTGAATGTGATTTTAATTCGCAGTCTTGTATGTGGCCACTTTTTGTTTTAAAATGGCTATCCCTGTATGCAAATTATTCTTTTGGGTTCAGTAGGTTTTTCAAAGCTTTTTTTTTTTTTAACTGTTCTATATGAATAAACACTACCGTTTTCCATTTATTGAGAAAGCTGATAATAGGGTTAAATTATAGGGGGCCATTGTTTTGAACTAAGTTCCTGCACTAGGCCCCAGCAGATCAGACTAAGAATCAAGAGTCACCCATGCTAAAGTTCCAAGTCCCAAACTGAAGCTAAGTTGTATCTGACATTCTAAGAAGTCAGGAGAGACAACAGCCAATTTTCCAAACAGGCCGTTTCAACATGCAATCGTCATGACAATTAAGCTCCCTGTTTTAATCCTCAACCTGAAGTAACCTGATGTTAACTAATTATTTCTCTATTGTTGTTTCCCTGTCCCTGCCTCACAATGAAAGTACTCTGAAGTGACCAATTCGCTTTTTGTGCTCTGCTTTTGCTTTCTTCAGCCCTTTTTCTGTCCATAAAGCCAACTTCCTCTGCTCTTTAGAACACTTATTCTATTTTATGAAATAAGGTGCTGTCCGATTCTATTTTTTGTTTGTTTTTTCCCCTCAGAGACCCCTGTTCTGAGTATTGCCCGATTCTACAATCACAAAGCCAATGGAGATCGAGTTGTAAAAAATTACAACTAAATTTGTTGTAATTTTTTTGTCTTTTGCCAATAGTAATTCTTTTTACATTAAGTATCCTTCCCTTAGAGTAAGCGACCACGATGACCCCTGTTTCAGAAGTAAGGACGCGGAAAGGACCTGCCCACACCACGGACCAGCCTGGCAGGCGCTGACCGACCGTAGTCTACTGATACGCCACTGCGCATGTCTGCTGGTGACTACAGCGAATGACGTCATCCGGGCTCGTCCGGGGCTCGTCCCAGCCTCCCCAGCGCCATGCTGGCTTCGCGAACCACGGAGTTCGCGCGGCGCCTGCGGGCTGTGGCACTGGCGTGGCTGCCGGGCTGGCGGGGCCGCTCCTTCGCCCTGGCGCGCGCGGTTGGCGCGCCCCACGGTGGTGACTTGCAGCCCTCCGCTTGTCCCGAGCCGCGCGGGCGCCACTTCAGCCTGTCCGCGGCGGCGGTGGTGGACTCCGCGCCCCGCCCCCTGCAGCCGTACTTGCGCCTCATGCGGTTGGACAAGCCCATTGGTGAGTGCGGGTTGGCGGGCGGGCAACCCGGATATTTCCGGGTAGCAGCCTCGGAGTACGCTCGGCAGAGGTGTCCGCGGCGGCCAGTCCCGGCGGGATGGAAATGAGAGCCCGAAAGCTTGGGCTTGGCTGCCAGGTGCCGTGCGCCCTGGGGCGAGTCACCTCGGGACACGTTGAAATGGGAGCCTGAAAGCTTGGGCTTGGCTGCCGGGTGCCAAGCGCCCTGGAGCGAGTCACCTCGGGACACTCTGTCGGGACAGTCTCCTAAAGGACCCGCCAGTTTCACGGCTGTTGGCACCCTGAGTACCCGAAGCGGGCAGGATAATTCTCGTTCCACAAATACTTGTTTAAGTGGTGACTTAAGTGGAAGGTTCTGTTCTCGTGGCCCTGCGTTTGCGCAGGTGGACGGTATGGAAGCACGCCTTCATTTATTAGAATGTTTGATCCTCCCCGCAATCCTGTAAGGCCCACAAAGACAATAATTAAGACAGGTAAGATGCTGAGGAAACTAAGGCTCCTCGTCAGAGCCAGACCAGAAGAACCTGGTGTTCTGATGCTGAGTCGGAGCTCTATTCCCTTCGTCACGCAAAAGGCAAAGATTTTATTCATTTGAACGCCTCAAGGACAGCGCTTACGGACTGCCTGTCAGATCACAGTCGCCCCCTACAGGAAGATTTTCCTGACCTTCCTATATTAATTAACACCTACCAACCTCACTTTCTATTGCTTTATCCTCAATTTTTCTTAATAGTACTCACCACTAACTAACCTTATGCACTTATCAGTTGATTGTCTTCTCCATTTGTGTTAAGTGAATTAATAAGTTCCTACTACACTTCTCCGACCAGGGAGATAGGAAGAACTGTGGAAACTCCTTGCTTTCAAGGAACTCTGGTCTAGTTGAAAGACTATTTGGTGAGCTAGGAAAGTATAGATCAAATATGAATGGTAAAGATAGTAAGTGCTACCGGGAAAAGATAAATTACTGTGGCTCCCTTGCAGGAAAGTTTCGAGAAGAAATTATGCTCCAAAGGGCAAGCTGATTTTGCAGAGGACAGAAGAGATCTTAGTGCGGGAAATATTTTTGCAAAGACCTAGGGTGGAGTGTTAGAACACTAAGAATATGAGCCTGACCTGAAACACCAAGTGGGTGTGGAAAATGGGAAATGAGACAAGAACGGGTCTGAAGAAGGTGGATAACATGGAGGAATAGAGGATGAACTCCAGCCAATCTAGATGATGACATTTGCCATTGCATTGTGTAGAGATGTATTCAAAAGCCTAGGTACTTTCAGTCCACTTTTGCCCATACGAGACCCAAATCAGGCCTTGCTCTTGGTATTCTAGATTTATGCACCACCTATTTGGGATCAGAGCACTAAGTTATTCCAGTCGGCTAGTAAAGCATAAAAGTATATTGAATGATAGGTACAGCTCTGCCGTCATTGGGTGGCTGGGTATGACCCCCGTGCGTTTTGGGGCCAGATTCACGTTGAGAGGCATACATTTCCAAGCTTAGTTCCAATCTGAAGCCTGGCTGTATTCTGTTCTCAGAGTCTGTGGCATGGAGCTGCACTATAGGCCTATAGATGAATGTCTACTATTATTCCTATTTCCCCAGTTAAACCTCTGGCTTCTATCTTAGTGTCTGGACCTTCTGCCTTGTAACAGGAGGCAACGGAGGGGTTATGAGCAAAGCTTTGGAGCCAGACATCTTGGATGTGAATCTGCTCATCTGAGGGACCTTGGTTAAATTGCAAGCCCTCTCCGGGCATCTGTTTCTCATCTGTAAAATGAAGATACTATTAATAGTAATATGGACTTTATGAGATCATTAAAATTCATTAATATATGTTAAATGCTTAGAACAGTGCCTGTCTTAATATATGCTGAAGAAATAGCCATTATTATCTTAGAAGTGGGGATTAGAGAAAATTGTACTTACAGATTACGTATGTTAAGAAGATACCAGCCTGCCTGGTTTCATTCTAAATAAGGTGATCATTACAGGATTTTTCAGAAAACTATAGTACTGTGTTAGAATTCATTCCAAAAATATTTTTGAACCCCTATCATATGCCAGGAACAATAATTGACAGTAATAGAATTCCAGGTTTGATAATTCTTTATTTAAATTCTTTTTTTGTGGGATAATTGTATGTTCATTGTTTTATTTTGTTGAAGTTATGACTTGTTACATTCATTGATCAGTAGCAGTTTTCATTGTTTTTGAGAAGGCAATACAGCTTCTTTCAAATGGGCCGACCCACTTTATTCCAGAAAGTTTCAGCAGGTGGCACTCTTTCCATCAAATTGGGAGTGTAATTTTTTGTTTTACCACATTTATGGGTGATTATGTTGTCTTAAAGATCATCTGTCTTTAATCTGCCCATCACCCCTCAGAACTTGCTCATTTTATTTCATCTCCTATAGAGTTTTTCCTTTTTCTACAGGAAACATTTTTTTTTTGCAATCTACTTGTCTCTTGTCTTTGCCTCCTCTCCAACTTTCTTCACAGAAAAATACGGAGAATGAAAGTATCATATGGAAGACAGAAAAAAATGTCACTAGGAATCAGTAGGGACAAAAGAACAGGTGAAACTGAAGTGTATGGGTGTACAGAGTGACAGCACTGGACTTAGAGAACAGACTGCAGCCAGACCATCTGGGTTAGAATTCCACCTTGGCCGCCTTTTACCTGTGTGGTCTTGGGCACAATTACTCCCTCTCTGTGTTAGTTTCTGTATTTGTAAAATGAGTGTAATAAAAATAGTGCCTATCTCATAGGCTTGTTGTGAGAGTCAGAAGTGTTCTATGAAACCACCTGGTACAGTAAGTGCCGTGTATCTGTTATTGTTGTCATAACCATCATAATTAATATTGTCATCTCATAACGACTCTATGAGGTAGCTGTTCTCTTCCCTCATTTACTGGTGAAATGGAGACTTAAGCCTTAAGATACTTTACTGTCTAGTGTCACTCAGCTTACAAGTGGCAGGCATAGAACTGAGAAGTCTTTTTACTTTCCCCTTCACTGTAGAAACCCTTGTCATCTACAGATTCCTATCAGTAAGTGAATACGTTCCTTTTTTTTTTTTTTTTTTTTTTTTTGAGATGTATTCTCACTCTGCCACCCAGGCTGGAGTGCAATGGCACCATCTTGGCTCACTGTCAACCTCTGCTTCACAGGTTCAAGCAATTCTCCTGTCTCAGCCTCCCAAATAGCTGGGATTACAGGCACCCACCACCATGCCCAGCCAATTTTTGGAATTTGGTACTTTCAATACAGACATTTGGTCAAGGCAGTTTTGTTCCCGACACAAAACACTATATGTGGTTGTGCATCTTTCTGTCTAGAATTTTTTTCTTTTTAGTGGAAACTTCAGTTCTAATTGTACCGTGAAAATAATAGCTGTGAAGTGGTATTCTTTCTTCTCTAACCTAGGAGGATAGGATCAGCCAGCTATTCCTCTATCCCTTGTGAGCTATACTCATAGCTCCAGGGTAAAGAAAGTAGTTAAACCTATTATGTTTCACTTAAATCACTCTTTATCTGTTTCCTCATCTGTAAGATAAGGTTATTAACAGAACCTGCTATGTAAGAATGTTATTTGGAAGGCTGAGGCAGAAGTATTGCTTAAGCCTAGGAGTCAGAAGCTGTAGTGAACTATGATCTTGTTACTGCACTCCAGCCTTGGCAACAGAGCCAGACCCTGTCTAATAATATAATATATAAAGATGTTACTGAAGATTAAATAAGTTTAGACATATAAAGCATTTAGAACACTGCCTGACACTGCAAACGCTCCATAAATGTTAGCCATTGTTACTATGTAGTGCACGAAGTATGAGTCTGTCCTGGACAACCTGACTTCCGGTCTGGACTGGCCATTTCTCAAGGTTTTAGTTGAGGCTTCTCCTTGACTTTTCTGTTGTGTAAATGTAAGTCCCCTTTGGAAAAGACCCTCTGATTCCTCCCTACCCCCTCCCAAAACTAGCTAACTATCTTGGATAGTTTTGTTTTATACCTTTGTAGGACCCTGTTCTTGTCCTGTTGTTGGATTCATCTTTTATTGTTACTGCTTATTTAACTGCATTTCTTCCTTTTGATTTATGAGCTGCATGAAGGCGGAAGCCACTTCTCTCTTAGCCACCATTGTATTCCCAGTTCTTACCACAGTCATGGCACAGTATATGCTTCATAAATATCTGTAAATGCATAAAGCTTGAACTTAGTGAAGCTTAAACATGATTACAGGGACTTTAGTTATTTGACCATTTTTCTTCAGGATCTGAACTTTCTTTAACCCAAAATTCCTTTTCTCTTGTATCCCTCAATAGGGAAGGAAAGCTCAGAATTTAATAGGCACCATATTTAAATCAATTGAAAGACTTTCTTTTAGAAGTAGAATATTGGCTGGGCGCAGTGGCTCACACCTGTAATCCTAGCACTTTGGGAGGCCAAGGTGGGTGGATCACCTGAGGTCAGGAGTTCAAGACCAGCCTGGCCATCAGGGTGAAACCCCATCTTAGAAAATAAATAAATAAATAAATAAATAAATAAGAAGTCCAATATTAAAGTTCATATGTGAAGTCTTTTGTATATTCTATTTGCTTTTATCTTAATTTCATCCAGTTTATTGGTTAAGTACTAAGAACTAACCCCGTTTATACATGTATCTGCAAAGTGCTCAGTTCAAAATAACAAAAAACTAACACCTACGGCCAGGCGCGGTGGCTTATGCCTGTGATCCCAGCACTTCGGGAGGCCAAGGTGGGAGGATCACCCGAGGTCAGGAGTTCAAAACCAGCCTGACCAACATAGAGAAATCCTGTCTCTATTAAAAATACAAAATTAGCCAGATGTGGGGGCGCATGCCTATAATCCCAGCTACCTGGGAGGCTGAGGCAGGAGAATTGCTTGAACCCGGGAGGCAGAGGTTGTGGTGAGCCAAGATCACACCATTGCACTCCAGCCTAGGCAACAAGAGTGAAACTGCATCTCAAAAAAAAAAACTTATAATCCCAGCACTTTGGGAGGCGAAGTAGAGAAGATTACTTGAGGCCAAGAGTTTGAGACTAGCCTGGGCAACATAGCAAGACCCCATCTCTACAAAAAATAAAATATTTATCTGGGCATGGTGACTTGCACCTGTAGTTCTAGCTACTCAGGAGGTAGAGGCAGGAGGATCATCTGAGCCCAGGAGTTTGAAGCCACAGTGAGCTGTGATTATGCTATTACCTTCCAGCTTGGGTGACAGAATGAGATGCTGTCTCAAAAACAAAACAAAAAACTAGACCATCTTTGTGTATTATACTAACAATAGTAAAGGAAATTTTTGCTAACTTTTTAAAGTAGGTAATAAGTGTCTATGATGCAATATTCAGAAGGTGCCCGCATATAGAGGGAAAGGCAAGTGTCTTACCCCGTCTCCTGTCCACTCAGTTCCCCTCCCCAGAGGCAGCCATTATTATCAGTTTCTAGTGTGTTCTTCCTGACATGGTCTGTGAGCATATTAAAATTCACATATGAATGTTTTATATATAGGTTCATTTATATATTTATACACACATATAAACACACATACAATAAACAGTTTTTAAGTTGTCCTTCACAAGGATAGGACCATTTTGTAACCTCACTAGAAATATAGAAGAGTGTTCAACTCCCTAGAGTGTGTTGTCAGACGTTGGGCTTTGCCAGTCATAGGTGAAAATTTTTATCTCAGTGTAGTTTTCATGTGTGCTTCTCAAAGTTGAGTATCTTTTCATATTTATAAGAGCCATTTGCATTTCTTTTTATGTGAATTTTTTTTATGTGTATTGTCTGTTTTTTAAATGGACCGTTGATTTCTTTCTGCTAGGCATTCTGCATAGTAAGGAGAATAGTCCTTTGTCGTTTGAGTTACAAATTTATTTTCTCAGTTTTGTCATGTGTTTTTTGACTTACAGTGTTTTTATTTCTTTGGTATGTGGTGTTTAAACAAATAAAGAGTTAACTGACTTGAATTTGTACCTTTCTTTGTCTCTTTAATTTTGCTTAGGAACCTGGCTGCTGTATTTACCATGTACCTGGAGCATTGGTTTGGCAGCTGAACCAGGTTGTTTTCCAGACTGGTATATGCTCTCCCTCTTTGGCACTGGAGCTATCCTGATGCGTGGAGCAGGCTGTACTATTAATGACATGTGGGACCAAGACTATGATAAAAAGGTAATTTCTGCCTGAAAAGGAATAGAGAGGCTCTTCTCAATTCTGCAGAATAACAAAGTGATATCACTTTTGAATGCCATATAAAGCAACAATATCATTCAGTGACCACTGAAATCCAGCATGGGAAGTGCCAGGATCAGTTGAATAGCTGGTATTGCAAAGTGCAGTGTACAGTACTTCCTTTCTCAACACAAGAGTGGCCCTAGGGGCAAGTGTGTACTTTATTATTATAAAGTAAATTGAGAATTTGGAAGACTGAGGGTGAGGGAGTTAAAGGTTAGGAGTGAAAGTGAAAAATTCACCCTGAAGCTTCAAGTGTCCAAAAGATCTGTCACCCCTTCCTTTGAGATGTATTTAGAGTCCTAACTATTCTTACGTAAATCATGTAACTCAAGGCAGCCCTTGTTAGCATTTCCTATAATTGTTTCTTTTAAAAACATAGAAAAAAAAAAACAGAAAAAAAGACATTTTTTCTCCTTAAAAAAATAATACATGCTTATTCTGAAAAATTTAGACAATATAGAATTGCATCCAGTGAGAAGTGCGAGTCATCCTTATCTCCTCCTCTTATCCCCTAAAGAAAACGTCAGTTAAGAGTTTGATGCATTATTTTTCTTTAGATTATTTTTTGTACATATTCTAATGCATGTGTATAATTATTTCCTTGTTCTTCAACAGACAGCTATTTCCTCAAAGGAAGAGGCCATCTTATTTGCCTTTTTAGCTTAGCAGCTGTGCCATAATTAGTACAAGATCATTAAATGCTTGAATAAATAATCAACTGAAATTTGATTTTAAAAGAAACCCACATTGAATTATAAAAAGTGAATAATCTTATAAAAAACTTATATAAAGTCAATAATCACTCCTAATTTGCCTTTTATGTAGTCTGAATTTTCCTTAAGCAAGGCATACCTGTAATAATTTTTAGTTTATATACTAGTGTTATATTAATATGTTTTTTAATTCAAAAACATTTATTGGGTATACTTGCTATGTGTAACACCCAGTGGCAGGTTCTAGGATTGCACTGATGAAATATGACATTCCTGACATTCAGGGTTTAGTAATTATAATACAGTAGAAGTCTTTTGAGAATAGTGTTCACCAGGAAACTTGCTGAAGACCACTTACGTCAACCTAAGGGAGAGGGTTAGAGAGAACTTTCCAGGTAGGAGTGACCTTTGAACTCTGAAAGAATAGGATAGCCAAAGCAGTGTGGGCTAGAGGGTGAAGGTTTCTCTAGACAGAGGGAACACAAGGTACAGAGGCATGGCTGTGAGATAAGTATGTGTTTGATAACAGCAACTGCGTGGTCCTCATATGGCTGGAGGATATGGGTGTAGTAGAAGAGTGGCAGGAGCTGCATGGTAAAGCATTTCTCTGACACAATTGGGATGCCTTAATTTGCCAAGAGATGTGCACTGTCCTTTTTTTTTTTTTTTTCTTTAAAAATGTTTTCGTTTTTGTGGATTTAGAGGTACAGTTACAGTTGGGTTACATGAATATATTGTGTAGTGGTGAAGTCTGGGCTTTTAGTGTACTCATATATAGTATGACCTAAAAGGTAGTATTTCATCCTCCACTTTCCCTCCCTCCCTCCTACTTTTTGTAGTCTCCAGTGTCTTATTATTCCACTCTATGTCTCTGTGTACCCATTGTTTAACTCCCACTTTAAAGTGAGAACGTGGTTTTTGATTTTCTGTTTCTAAGTACTTTCACTAAGGATAATAGCCTCCAGTGTCATCCATGTTGCTGAAAATGACATGATTTCATCCCTTTTTTATGGCCTTGTATTCCGTTGTATTCCATGGCGTATATATACTGCTTTTTTTTTTTTTTTTTTTTTTTTTTTTTTTTTTTTGAGACGGAGTCTCACTCTTTCATGCAGGCTGGAGTGCAGTGGTGTGATCTCGGCTCACTGCAGCCTCCACCTACCAGGTTCAAGTGATTCTCCTGCCTCGGCCTCCCAAATAGCTGGGATTACAGGCGTGTGCCACCATGCCTGGCTAGTTTTTGTGTTTTTAGTAGAGACAGGGTTTCACCATGGTGGTCATTGATGGACACTTCATTTGATTCCCCAACTTTGCTATTGTGAATAATGCTGTGATAAATGTATGAGTGCAGGTGTCTTTTTGACAAAATGATTTATTTTCCTTTGGGTAGATACCCACTAGTGGGATTGTTGGATTAGTAGTTCTATTTTTAGTTATTGAGAAATCTGCATGCTGTTTTCCATAGAGATTGTACTAATTTATAGTCCCATCAACCATGTGTAAGTGTTCCCCTTTCTCCACATCCTCACCAACATCTGTTTTTTGACTTTTTAATAATAGCCATTATCACTGGAATAGAAGATGGTATCTCATTGTGGTTTTAATTTGCATTTCTCAACCGTGTGTAAGTATTCCCCTTTCTCTACATCCTCACCAACATCTGGTGTTTTTTGACTTTTTAATAATGGCCATTCTGACTGGCATAGAAGATGGTATCTCATTGTGGTTTTAATTTGCATTTCTCAACCGTGTATAAGTATTCCCCTTTCTCCACATCCTCACCAACATGTTTTGTTTTTTTTTTGACTTTTTAATAATGGCCATTCTGACTGGCATAGAAGATGGTATCTCATTGTGGTTTTAATTTCCATTTCTCTGATGATTAGTGATGTCTAAGTCCCCAAAAGGAAACACAACAGAAACAAAAATAGACAAATGAGACTTAATTAAACTAAAAAGCTTTAGCGTGGCAAAAGAAATTATCGATAAGGTAAACAGACAACCTATAGAATAGGAGAAAACAATGCACTCAACAAAGGGCTAATGTCTAGAATCTAGAAGGAGCTCAAATATCAAGGAAAAAATAACCCCATTAAAAAGTGGGCAACGCACATGAACAGACATTTTTCAAAAGAAGACACAAGCACCCAACAAACATATGAGATACACACTTTCTTGACTTGGAGGTTCATGTGTTAAATAAACACATCCTAGTCAGTGTTTATTCTGTACACTCTATAAATAAGGCTTCTGGCATATATCACTTCAAGATAATTCTTAAACATGTTAATAGTAGTTCATCACTTTAAAAAAATTGCTAGCTTAGTATAAGCCTTCCAGAAAATGAAAAATAGTGCTGTAAATTAGTAACAGTTTATTAATCATGGGTCTGTTTGGATAACATTTGAGATCAAATATTTGAAGGCAAACTGCAAAATTCTGAATTGCTTTATCTTATTTGGTAGACAGACTCTACCCTAAACGTTTCAGCCCCACACTCTTGACTAGAGTTAAAAGTAATTACATAGATTTTGACTTCTGCTTCCAGGAAGATGGAATAGGTGTATTTTCTCTATTCTTTCTACTAAGTATGACTAAAACCCCTGGACATTCATTATACATAAAACAAACATAAGAGGACTGTGAAGAAAAGGTGGCAGACTCACTAGGGACCTTAGGACCTAAATAATTTCCTAGATTTTGTTTTTCTTCAAATATTCCAGACTTGGAACTGAAGAAGCCAGATACCTGGAAATGTCAATGGGTACAGATGGGTTGTGGGCAGCAGGCAGGAAACCTACTTGGCAGGGGCCAGTGGAAACCAGGTCGGGAAACTGAGCTTCTAATCCCAGCTGGTAGTGATTGGGCAGCGTCTCCCACCCCCTTCTTTTGCCATTGCAGTGTCAAAAAAAAAAAAGCCAACTGAAATTAAAAGTTTAAATAAGATTCATTGTTTTATGACATAGTACTTAAATGTCCAGATTTCAGTTAAGAATCATTTGTCATACCAAGAACTAGGAAAATCTCAACCTGAGTGGAAAAAAGACAGTCAGTAGATGAACAACACTAAGAAAGCAGAGATGTTAAGATTTCTTACAAAGATTTTTAAAGCAGCCTCATAAATATGCTTAAGTGAGCAATTACAAACATGCTTGAAACTAATGAAAAATATCACATCTCAGAAAAGAAATAGAAAATATAAAGGAGAACCAAATGGAAATTTTCAAACTGAAAGATACAATAATTGCAATAAAAATTCAGTGGATGGGCCCAACAGTAGAATGGAGGGGACAGAGGAAGGAATCAGTGAACTGGAGATAGAATAACAGAAATTACACAATCTGGAAAATGGAAAATAGACTGAAAAATCGAAGACCTTTGGACTATAACAGATTATCTAATATTTGTTTCATGAGTCTTGGAAAAACAGGAGAAAGGTTGGGGCTGAAAAATGATTGAAGAAATATTGGCTGAAAAAGTCCCAAATTTAGCAAAAGACAAACCTACATATTTCAGAAGGTGAGCAACCTCCAAACACAATAAACACACAGAATCCTCACCTCAATACATCATAATCAAGCTTCTAAAACTAAAGAAAATTTTAAAATCGTAAAAGCTATGAGAAATACAAAAAGCACAACCCATAAGAGGAAAATGAATTTGTACTTTGTCAAAACAAATTTTGATTTGTGAAAGACCGTGTTAAGAAGATTAAAAGACAAGCTCCAGGAGAAAATATTTGCAAACCACGAGTCCAACAGAAGACTGGTATCCAACAAAAGAATATATATCCTATGTGTGTTGGGGTTCAGGGGAAAAAGGAAAAAAAGCACACACACAAAAACCAAACCAACCAAACAAAACCCAAGGATAGACTAGGCATGGTGGCTCACACCTATAATCCCAGTACTTTGAGAGGCCAAGGTGGGCAGATCACTTGAGGTCAGGATTTCAAGACCAGCCTGGCCAATATAGCGAAACCCCATCTCTACTAAAAATACTAAAATTAGCTGGGTGTGGTGGCACATGGCTGTAATCCCAGCTACTCAGGAGGCTGAGGCAGAAGAATCAGCCCAGGAGGCGGAGGCTGCAGTGAGCTAAGATTGTGCCACTGCACTCCAGCTTGGGCAACAGAGTGAGACCTTGCCTCAAAAAAATAAAATAACCAGGATATATAAAGAGCTCTTAAAACTAAACAATTTTTTTTTTTTTTTTTGAGACAGAGTTTTGCTCTTGTTACCCAGGCTGGAGTGCAATGGCGCGATCTCGGCTCACCACAACCTCCGCCTCCTGGGTTCAAGCAATTCTCCTGCCTCAGCCTCCTGAGTAGCTGGGATTACAGGCAAGCGCCACCATGCCCAGCTACTTTTTTGTATTTTTAGCAGAGATGGGGTTTCACCATGTTGACCAGGATGGTCTCGATCTCTCGACCTCGTGATCCACCTGCCTCGGCCTCCCAAAGTGCTGGGATTACAGGCTTGAGCCACCGTGCCCGGCAAAACTAAACAATTTTTTAAAAAATTCAATTACAAATGGGTAAAGATATTTCAACAAAGAGGATATACAGATTTCAGATAAGTACATAAAAATATGTTCAACAGTCTTAGTCTTTATGGAGATACAGATTAAAGCTGCAATGAGGCTGGGCATGGTAGCTCACACTGTGTAGTCCCAGCACTTTGGGAGGCCCAGGCAGGAGGGTCTCTTGAACCCAGGAATTTGGGACCAGCTTGGGCGACATAGTAAGACCCCTGTCTCTGAAAAGGTGAAAAAAATAGCCAGATGTGGTAGCATACACCCATGGTCTCAGCTGCTCGGGAGGCTGAGGTGAGACAATTGCTTGAGCCCGGGAGGTGGAGCTGTAGTGAGCCATGGTCATGCCACTGCACTTCAGTCTAGATGACAGAGTAAGACCCTGTCTCCAAAAAAAAAAAAAAAAAAAAAAAAAAAAAAAAACCAAAAAAAAAAAAACTACACTGAAATATTTCTACAAACCTATCAGAATGGTTGAAATAAAAAATAGCAACAATACCAAATGCTAGCATAGGTGTAGAGGACCTGAGTCACTCATACATTGCTGGTGGGAAGGTTAAGTAGTATAGCCTGTCTGGAAAAGATTGGGAGTTTTTGTTTGTTTTTAAAAATCTAAATATACAACTACCATCCAACTCAGCAGTTGCACTCCTGAGCATTAATCCTAGGGAAATGAACAGTTATGTTCACCTAGAAACCTGTATGTAAATATTTATAACTGCTTTACTTGTAATAGCCCCAAACTATAGACATGTCCTTCAGTGAGTGAAGATTAAACAATGTATGTACATCTGTACCTGGGAAAACTACAGCAATAAAAGGAATGAACAATTGATATATGAAACAACCTAGATGAATCTCCAGAGAATTATGCAGAGACAAAAGCCAGGCTGAAAGGGTTACATACTATGTGATTCCATTTATATAACATTCTTGAAATGACAGCATTACAGAAATAGTGAATAGATTAGTTTTGCCAGGGATTAAGGAGGGGACAAAGACAGGAGGTAAGTGAGTGTGGTATGTGGCTATCAAAGGGCAAAATGAGAGATCCTCGTGATGACAGCAGTGTTTTACATCTTGACTGTATTAATATAAAATTCTGGTTGTGAGAGTGTACTATAGTTTTACTTGTGATATTATTGAGGGGAACTGGGTATAGGGTACGTGAGATCTTTGTATAATTCTTTAAATCACACGTGATTCTGGAATTATAGCAAAAGAAAAAGCCTCATTAAGAAAAATACTACATTAGGCTGGGCACAGTGGCTTATGCCTGTATTCTCACACTGGCTCACACCTGTAATCACAGCATTTGGGAGGCCTAGGTTGGAGGATCACCTGAACCCAGGAGTTCAAGACCAGCCTAGACAACATAGTGAGATCCTGCCTCTACAAAAGGAAGGAAGGAAGGAAGGAAGGGAGGGAGGGAAAAGAAAAGAAAGAGAAGGAAGAAAGGGAAGGAAGGAAGGAAAGAAGAAAGGATGGAAAGATTAGCTGGGCATGGTGGCACACACCTATATTCCCAGCTACTCAGAGGCTGAGGTGGGAGGATTGCTTGAGCCTGGGCGGTCGAGGCTGCAGTGAGCCATGATTATGCTGTTGCACTCCAGCCTGGGTGACAGAGCAAAACCCTGTCTCAGAAATAATAATGTATTCAAACCAACGTTTTCAATTTTCTTAATTAGCAAAATATGACCACTTTAGTTTCCCCTTTAGTGATTTTTTGTCTCACTAGATAAAAAGGTGATTAACTGTCTTACATCTCCCTCAAGCTATTTTTCTCGTATTAGAAGATTCCAAATCCTGCACTGATGTACAACAAAGTACTAAATGAGTATTTTACAGCTATTGAGGTGGTTTTGCTAACATGAATTCTATTTTTTTATTTTATTTTTAATTTTTTGAGGTGGAGTCTCGCTCTATCGCCCAGGCTGGAGTGCAGTGGCACAATCTTGGCCCACTACAATCTCCACCTCCCAGCTCCTAGCAATTCTCCTGCCTCAGCCTCCTGAGTAACTGGGATTACAGGCGCATGCCACCACGCTCAGCTAATTTTTGTATTTTTAGTAGAGATGGGGTTTCACCATGTTGGTCAGACTGGTCTCAAACTCCTGACCTGGTGATCTGCCCACCTCAGCCTCCCAAAGTGCTGGGATTACAAGCGTGAGTCACCACGCCTAGCTGCTAACATGAATTTTAAAATGTTTTGTGCATCTCTTTTAAATGACATGTTTAAAAGCTGGGCCAAATTATGATGCCTACCTCAGTTTCTTAAAGGCAATATATCATTAAGGTCATGTTTGTGGCTCAGAATTTTGCTTAATACATTACATGTTAAGTACATTGCTGATATATTAAATGGAAAGAGAATTGCTATTAGGGTGTACAGGCTAAATGTTTTTGTTGATATATATAATCTACTAGCCATGTCACCATTTGATAAACATTAGGTTAAGAACATTGAAATAATCTCAGCACACAGGTATTCATGATTTAGTTTAGTAAGCTGTGAGTTTTCTGGTTTCATAGAAACCACGTCAAAAATGTTTCGATGAAGTGCTTATTTATTGGCAGCTTTCAAAATTGCTAGCTAATTATCACTATTCTGAAGGGGCAAGCATAACCTTTTGGTTGGTAGTGGAGTTGGTGGGACTAGACTGGCTGTGCTACCCTTAGCATCTGTGACCTGGGAAAGTTACTGGGCCTCTGCCTCAGTTTCATCCACATTAAAAATGACAAGAACTTGTAAATGGCTGAAAGACAGGGTTATTTATTTATTTAGAGACAGAATTGTGCTCTTGTTGCCTGCATACTGGGTTCAAGCAATTCTCCTGCCTCAGACTCCCAAGTAGTTGGGATTACCGGTACCCTGCACCACGCCCAGCTAATTTTTGTATTTTTAGTAGAAACGGAGTTTCACCACGTTGGCCAGGCTGGTCTTGAACTCCTGACCTCAGGTGGTCCATCCGCCTCAGCCTCCCAAAGTGCTGGGATTACAGGCGTGAGCCACCATGCCCAACCTAAAATAAGTAATAATCCTATTTAGGGATTCAGTGATGTGATGCAGTTAAAGCTTTTAGAATAGTTAACATTGTAAGTACTCAAATACTAGCTAGAATAATGCTAATACCCTGAAACAAATATAAAAACAAATATTATTTTAAATTTGAAACTATAGGAATCAAATCAGGTGTAAAAGATCCCATTCTGATCATCTAACCAGCATGAGTCATTAGTCAGAGTTATTGCCAAGCTGCTTTATTACACTGTGAAGTGGCATAAATCTGGTCAGCAAACCTTTTCTGTAAAGGCCAGTTAGTAAATATTTAGTCTTTCTCTGTGAAAATTGAATGTATTATACTTGCTAAACTGAACAGCCAAATAGCTGATAAGGAAGTTGGTTTGTGTTTTTTGTTTCGTTTTTTTTGACAGAGGGTCTTGCAGTGTCACGCATGCTGGAGAGCTTGGTGTAATCATGACTGACTAACTGCAGCTTCAACCTCCTAGGCTCAAGCAGTTCTCCTACCTCAGCCTCCCCTGTAGCTGGGGCTAAAACTGATGTTCTCAAACAATCCTCCCACCTCAGCTTCCCGAAGTACTGGGATTACAGGCCTGAGCCACTACACCCAGCCAGGAAGTTCCTTTGTTTTGTTTCTTTAGAGATGGGGATGGGAGAAAATAGAATGAGTGGTAGGAATTTTTAGTTCTTTTCAAAGCTATTTTAAATATCAAGTTTTGATTCTTGACAGTACTTAAAATGTTGATTTCTCTCTTCATTCATATTTGTGCCTGCCATGGTCCAGTCTCTTAATTAAATGTTTAAATAAATGATTGAGTCATAACATGAGGCTAAGGTATCTGTTTTTATATTTTAAGGTTACAAGAACAGCCAGTCGCCCAATAGCCGCTGGAGACATTTCGACTTTTCAGTCCTTTGTTTTTCTTGGGGGACAGCTAACCTTGGCACTGGGTGTTCTTCTGTGTCTGAATTACTACAGGTATATTAAACATGTTTTCCACATCATGTGTAAAAATCTCTCCTTTGAAATGGAGAAAAGTAGGAATAAAATGAAATATCTTTATCACAGTTGTTTATTGGCTATTTAACAAGCAATAAGTAATAATACTGTAAGTTAGCAAGTGTAAGTAACTCACCACACATTTTAAAATCTGCTTCAAGAATGCTTTTGGCCAAAGGAGTTAAGAAATGAATATTTAATTTGTTTTGAACCTCCTTCAGTGTTTGCACTACATTCCCTAAGGGACACAAGGCAATTCATAGGTTTTCTTTTTTTGTTTTTTTTTTTTGTTTTTTTTTTGAGATGGAGTTTCGCTCTCGTTACCCAGGCTGGAGTGCAATGGCGCGATCTCGGCTCACCGCAACCTCCGCCCCTCCTGGGTTCAGGCAATTCTCCTGCCTCAGCCTCCTGAGTAGCTGGGATTACAGGCACGTACCACCATGCCCAGCTAATTTTTTGTATTTTTAGTAGAGACGGGGTTTCAACATGTTGACCAGGATGGTCTCGATCTCTTGACCTTGTGATCCACCCACCTCGGCCTCCCAAAGTGCTGGGATTACAGGCGTGAGCCACTGCGCCCGGCCAATTCATAGGTTTTCTAAGTATATGAATGGATGTGTGTGTATTCACTCATATATATATATATATATATATATATATATATATATACACATACATACGTACATATATATAATTTAATTTATGCTGACAATATCCCTAAAGTAGACTTAAAGCAGGAGTGATTATACTTATTTTGCAAAAAGAGGAACTATGTCTTTCCCAGGGTCGTGTTACTAGTCAATGACTGAAGAAAGAAGTGGGAGGATTCGGGGCTGGGTGTGGTGGCTCACACCTGTAATCCCAGCACTTTGGGAGGCCGAGGCGGGTGGATTACGAGGTCAAGAGATCGAGACCATCCTGGTCAACATGGTGAAACCCCGTCTCTACTAAAAATACAAAAAATTAGCTGGGCATGGTGGCACGTGCCTGTAATCCCAGCTACTCAGGAGGCTGAAGCAGGAGAATTGCCTGAACCCAGGAGGCGGAGGTTGCGGTGAGCCAAGATCGCGCCATTGCCCTCCAGCCTGGGTAACAAGAGCGAAACTCCGTCAAAGTCTAGGAAGATAATTTACATAAAAGTATAATTTAAGATAAAATCTATTTTCCAATTAGTATTACGTCATTGTCTTAAAGTATTTCGTGGTTTCTAAGAGGTAATGGTAATAATCATTTTAATGGTTTTTCCTCTTTTCAGTATAGTTCTGGGAGCATCATCCTTACTTCTTGTCATCACCTACCCACTAATGAAAAGAATTACATACTGGCCTCAATTAGCCTTGGGTGAGCTTAAAATAACTATAAGTATTTCCTTTAATACTTGCAAACTATACTTTTATGGAGAGATAGGTAGATAAATAAGTAAAGATGAAATGACAAATCAGTCATATAATTTTCCTAACCAAAAATAGATTTTCATATTTTAAAGGAGGGCTATTTTTACTAGCTAAGAAATATTACATATTTATTAGGGTTATCAGCATCATTTCTTTCTCTCTCCTCTTTTCTCTTCCCCTCTCCTCCTCTCTCTTCTGTCAGAGACAGGGTCTCACTCTGTTGCCCAGGCTGGAGTGCAGTGGCAACGATCTCAGCTTACTGCAACCTTGACCTCCCAGGCTCAAGTGATCCTCCCACATCAGCTTCCTGAGTAGCTAGGACTACAGGCATTCACAACCATGCCTGGCTAATTTTTGTATTTTTTGTAAAGACAGGGTTTCACCGTGTTGCCTAGGCTGGTCTCAAACCTGAGCTCAAGCGATCCACCTGCCTTGGCCTCCCAAAGTGCTGGGATTACAGGTGCGTGTCATCACGCCTAGCCATCATTGCTTTCTAAATGCTTTTGTAAAATTCTAGGTATATCTTGAAAAAGTGTTTGTTCTAGATAACCTGAAGAATTTGGGGAATGGGGCAGGAAGCACTCTGTGGCAGGAGAACAAGGTTTAAAGTGTGTGTGATAGCTACTGTCACCTTAGACAGCTCCTGTTCTGTGAAGCCTCTGAGGAAGAAGTTAGACAATCTCTTCTGGGCTACCATAGCATTCTAATCCAGCACTTACTCATTCCAACAGCATTAATTCAACAAGAATATGTTGAGAGCTTCCTATGGTCTCCCAGTTAGTAAATTGTGGCCCAGCATTTAGCATAGCACTTGGCACAGTGCAGGTATTGAATACATACTTGTTGGTGAAAAGAGAGGAAGATAGGTAAGTATGTATCAGAATCTGTTGTAAAAATATCTATTCCCAGTCTTTTCTATTCTATTCCTAGAATATTCCTAGAATGCTTCTAGTTCTTTGAACCTTTTTTATTTTTTTCAGTAAATGAAAGAATGAAAAGCAACTCAAGAAATTGATAGCCGGGCGCGGTGGCTCAAGCCTGTAATCCCAGCACTTTGGGAGGCTGAGGCGGGTGGATCACGAGGTCGAGAGATCGAGACCATCCTGGTCAACATGGTGAAACCCCGTCTCTACTAAAGATACAAAAAATTAGCTGGGCATGGTGGCACGTGCCTGTAATCCCAGCTACTCAGGAGGCTGAGGCAGGAGAATTGCCTGAGCCCGGGAGGCGGAGGTTGCGGTGAGCCGAGATCGCGCCATTGCACTCCAGCCTGGGTAACGAGAGCGAAACTCCGTCTCAAAAAAAAAAAAAAAAAAAAAAGAAATTGATGTGAGCCTGATTTGTGGGAAACTTGTGGTAGAATCTTTATTTTTTTCTAAGAGCCTCTCATTGAATGTTCTCTTTATTATTAAATTTGAAATTATATTCTCAATATAAGCATTTCCTATGTATAAGATAATGTTAAGAAGCTGGTATATTTACTCCAAACATTTATTGAACCCCTGCATTTACTTTATGCCAGGAATTGCAGCAGGTGCTGAGAAAATAAGAATGACTAAAACACACTGACCATCTTTAAGGAGTTGAAGGTGGAGACAACAGATAGACAGGTCATTGCAGCACAACATGGCAGGCAGGAGCACTATGGGACCACAGAGGAGAGGCACTTAATCACTTAAGGAGGGGACATGAGTGGAAGTGGGTAATAGAGAAGGAGAAAAGGGAATTCTGAGAAAAGATATTTAGGATACATTGAGTTTAAGGTACATGAGCAACTTGCAAGCAGAGAAGAAGTCCAGCACACAGTTCAGTTTGTAGTCTGGAGCTTAGAGTGATCAGGCTTGCAAGTGGAGATTTGGGAGCTGTCAACATGTAGGTATTCGTTTTCAGTCCTCAGAGAGGATGCCCTTGTAGAATAAATCAGTGTTTCTATGTATATTCTTGTTTCTGTAGCTGATAGAGGAGGCAAAGTGGTAACAGAAAGAACATGGGTTTTTGAGTCAAATAGGTGTAAATTCAGATCCCAGCATCTAATATTTATTAGTAGTGCCATGCCCCATACTAGGTGGGATAAATCTTCTCTTTAAACCAGGCGTCCTCAAACTACAGCCCTCGGGCCGCATGCGGCCCCCTGAGGCCGTTTATCCAGCCCCCCACCGCACTTCAGGAAGGGGCACCTCTTTCATTGGTGAACCGTGAGAGGAGCACAGTATGTGGTGGCCCTCCAACGGTCTGAGGGACAGTGAACTGGCCCCCTGTGTAAAAAGTTTGGGGACGCCTGTTTCAAACTTTCTATTTACTTAATTGGGAGATATTATTCTTTTTAATAGCTCTGTTATTTTAGTTGTTAATTCACTTCTCTGAGCCTGTTTTCTTTTTTGTAAAATGGAGCTAATATTACCACCGAGAGTTGAAAGGGTTTAAGGAAGGAACACATAGAAAGCAGCACACACACAGTCTGATACCCAGGAGCACTGAATGCTCACCGATGCCTCTCTTTCCCTTTGGAATTCTAAAGTGCGTGTTGTAGACTTTCCCGCTTTTTGTGTTTTGCTAATTGCAGGCTTGACGTTTAATTGGGGAGCATTACTTGGATGGTCTGCTATCAAGGGTTCCTGTGATCCATCTGTTTGCCTGCCTCTTTATTTTTCTGGAGTTATGTGGACACTAATATATGATACTATTTATGCCCATCAGGTAAAGAAATATCTTTTGATTAACTTTGGTTTAGTTGTACTGTTTTTAACGAACCACATTAAAGAGAAAGCATTTTTTTCTAAAATTTATTGTTGTTTTTTAAGAACTTTAAGAACCAAATTAAGGAGGAAGAATTTTTTTCTAAAAAGAAAGTCATTCAAAGTTCCGTGGCTCCCACAAAATATTTTTTTATGTTTATATATGTTTACTAGAGTTCAACTCATTTATTTTACTTACAAACAATAAAGTAGTATTTCCTGTATGCCAGGTACTGTTTTAAGTACTTTAAAAATTTAGTTTAATTTCCCCATCAGCCTTCGAGGAAAGTGCTTAGATTATCCTCATTTAACAGAAGAAGAAACATGTGAAGAAGTTACTTGTCCATGTCACACGGTTGGTGGGTGGCAGAGCTGAGATTCAAACCCAATGTTCAGAGACTGCTTTTAACTACTACATTCTCCTGTCCCTCTAATCACTGAATTATGCAACTTTTTTACTTGGTGCAGTGAGTGAACATTTTCCCATATTTTTACCAGTTCTTTGTCATTGTCACTTTAAGACTATGGACTATAAGATAATGCATGCCCTGGTTTAACATACTATAAATTTGATGTGCCATAATTGAAAAAAATTGAACAGTTTCTCTATTTTGGCTACTTAAGTTGTTTGAGTTTTCACAATTATAAATAATATTGTTCTAATCATTAATATTTCATGAATAGGAGTTTTTCAGTTAAATTTTTAGAAGTAGTAAAGTATCATAAATATTTTTATAGCTTTTGATGTTGCCTTTTTCATAAATTCAATTTTAAAAACTCATTTTTTTCTTTTTTTTTCTTTTCTTCTTGGTTCTATGAGAAAACATCATTTTTTTATTTTACATTTATAAACTCCCTCCCAACTTTAATGAGGAGTAATTGACAAATAAAATTAGGCATATTTAAGGTATACAGTGTGATGATTTGATAGTACGTGTTCTGAACTTTTTTAAAAAGTTTTTTCTCGGTATTTTTCTGAAATATGATTATTCTCATTTACTTGAAGAATATGTCTAGATTTTATCTTGTTTTCTTCTACTGAAGTCCTATGCCCTGCTACATTTGTATTATCCTGAAAAGGCAGATCTGTAATCAGCCTTACTTTGAAAATGAAACTTGACTTAGAGGTTGAAGAGATGCCTGTACTTTTTCCAGTAAGGTCTGGAACCAGTGCTTAGGCTACCAGTACTCCAATTAGATTAACAACTTCAGGAAAACACCACATACTCATTGGCACTTTTATGGTTCACATAATTACCAACACAGTTTGCACCCTGAAGGTGATCGTAGTATGAAAGGAAAACCAGAAACACTAACCCACAGTCATCGTGATTTGGATTTGGGCCCTGAAAGAGAGCCTGTCAGGTTGCTGTCTGCCTGTAGTTCAGTGCAGAGAGTTCAACATGGAGTCACTAATATCACGTGACCATGATCATTTACAGCAGTATTTGGAGATGCTTATAAATGAACTTACTGGGAGAAACCAGGCAGCTACATGTGGTTGTATCATTGAGACCTAGCTCTACCTAAACAGGATTTGGTAGGAAGGGCAAGGGATAATTGGGCTAGAAGGGCCAGAAGTGCAAAGTGAGTGGATGTGGTTAGGTGGTAAGTGAGCATTTTTCTACGTTTGTGATTTTAGCAAGAAACTAAAATGTATAGGAGATAGATTGAGGTTTGAGAATTCTGAGGCAGAGAGGAGCTATGGAAAGAATTAGAGCTGAATTTTAATCCTAACACTATAGTTAAGCATCATTATAGGATTTTAAGAAATACAATAATACATAGAAATGAAGCTGGATGGTGATTTTAGCAGTGGTTTTTAACTTTGATTGGCCTGCACATTCATTACTGATCAGCCTGTTTCTGAGTTACTGTCATCTTTTACCGCTTATGGTATATCTGCATGTTCTGTAAAAGACAATTTCTTCTGCAAGTAGTTAGTGGTAATGAGGCAAAAATTAAAAGAAAAATAATAAAATCATACAAAGAAGAGAAACAGGCTGTGGGCGTTAGACTGGAGGCAGTCTGCTAACTCAGGCTCTAGGAGGAACTCTGATAATGTTATCTCAGAAGGCAAAGCTCAAGAAAATGTGCTCTGAAGACTCCCAGTTCTCCCTCACCATCTGGAGGAAAACATGAGTTTCCTCCCTGATCCTTACCCTCATAGTATGAGTGAGCCTAAGAATTTATAGATATGTTTCCTGTGTATTGCCTGCCTGTTTTATATGAAAATGACACAGTGAAGGCCGTGAAAAATGCCCAAACAGGATAGTACCGCAGACATCAAAGAAGAGCTCAGTGCAGAGCTCTGCAGGACTGATCAAGATAAGGCAAGATATCTTGCCTGGGCTCAAGATAGGGCCACCTGGCCCACATACCAAAAGTCTTGAGGAAGCTTGTCACTGTATTGATTAACTGCTTTTGTTCTTGCTTCTATAACCTGGCTTCTTTTCGCACCCTAAGATGTAAAAAAGCCCTTGCTTTCTTTGTTCTTCGCTCAGTTCCTTACACCTTAAATAAAACCCTCCTGTAACCTCATGGGTCTCTCCGGTTCCCTGATTTCCCGCTACAGTAATTGGTTGCACAACCTTGTGAATATACTAAAAAACATGAAATCGGACACTTCAAAATGTGTATTTTATGGTGTGTGAACTAAACCTTAAGAAGCAGACAGTTTATTTTTCTTTCTGATATTAGGACAAAAGAGATGATGTTTTAATTGGTCTTAAGTCTACGGCTCTGCGTTTCGGAGAAAACACCAAGCAGTGGCTCAGCAGCTTCAGTGTTGCAATGCTGGGGGCGCTGAGCCTAGTGGGTGTCAACAGTGGTCAGACTGCTCCCTACTACACTGCCCTGGGTGCTGTAGGAGCCCATCTGGTTCACCAGGTTTGACCTTTTTCATATTTGTACCTCATATTTCCTTGGTATAAATTATAAAAATTAAACAGTATGCCCTCTGTGTTTACCTGGCAAGGAACTTCATAAACAGCTACTTGGCTTTTACTACCTTTAACAGACCCCCCCTGCCCTCCGGCCCCAACTTATAAGAAAGCTAGCTATATTATTTAATTTTTAATTTTTTTTTGAAACAGGTTGTCCAGCCTGTCATCCAGGCTGGAGTGCAGTGGTACGATCACAGCTCACTGCAACCTCTAACTCATGGGCTGAAGTGATCCTCCCACCTCAGTATCCTGAGTAGCTGGGACAACAGTCGTGCACCACCATGCCTGGCTAATTTTTTTTATTTTTTGTAGAGAGAGGGGTCTGGGTGTTTTGCCCAGGCTAGTCTTAAACTCCTGGCTTCAACCAGTCTTCCTACCCTGGCCTCCCAAAAGTTCTGAGATTACCAGTGTGAGCTACCAACCCCAGCCAAGCTGTATTATTTTAGAAAAGTAATATAGGCCTAAATCCAGATTTTCCCCTCTGATTTTCCTGGAGTTACTTCTGATTCATATCTGGAAAAATTTAAGAAATATCTGAAGCTTATGGTTTGAGTTGCATTACTCTAAAAGCAAACTTACAGATAAAGCTTTTTTAAAAAATCTGGGTTTCTAGTAATGGTTAGTGGACTAATTATTCTTAAGTTTGGTTTCCGCTGGCATAAAGACCAAGGCCAGATAAGACATAACTGCAGAACATGTCAAAGTTCTGCCAGTAGACAGCAGGAAGCTGCCATTTCAGGATATTCACCCACACCACATCCCCTACCTATCACAAACTTATGTTGAGAATCTACATTGCTGACTTGTAAAATGAATGAACTAAATCTAATTTTAACTCAATCACTTGCTAGTAAATGGACTATGTTTTTATGTCAATGTTATTGTTATTTTCATTAAACAGAATCAAAAAGGTATTCATGGCAGATCACCTGGGTTCAGGAGTTCGACCAGCCTGGCCAATATGGCAAAACCCCATCTCTAAAAATACAAAAAGTAGTCGGATATGGTGGCAGGTACCTGTAATCCCAGCTACTCGGGAGGCTGAGGCAGGAGAATTACTTGAACTCAGGAGGTGGAGGTTGCAGTGAGCCAAGATCATGCCACTGCACTTCAGCCTGGGTAACAGAACAAGACTCCATTTAAAAAAAAAAAAAAAGGTATTCATGAAGCTATCTTTAGATGACTGGTTTTATACAGTTGCAAATTACTTATCAGTGTAGGCGAGACTTACATAAAATGGTATGAAGGAAATCAGAATCTGATGTCTGTAAAGTCAACCATATGCTATGTCTCCTTCACTGTCTTCCTCACTGTGAAAACTAAAATGTGAATTGGTGACACTCCAGGATGTTGCCATTTTTCCCTTCGAATTTCTCAGCATCCCTTTTTGGGTATAGCTCAGCTCCATGAGGGCTGACATTGTCATTTGATTGTTTGGTCTGGATAATGGGTATATGTTAATATTTAAACACCTGAATATTAGATAGTACAGGAAGGCAAAAATCATTAGGGATATTATAAGAAATACCCTACCAGGCACAGTGGCTCACGCCTGTAATCCCAACACTTTGGAAGGCCAGGGTGGGCAGATCCCATGAGGTCAGGAGTTTGAGTCCAGCCTGACCAACATGGATAAACTCCGTCTCTGCTAATAATGAAAAAAACTAGCTGGGGATGGTGGTATGCACCTGTAATTCCAGCTACTCAAGAGGCTGAGACAGGAGAATCACTTGAACCCAGGAGGCAGAGGTTACAGTGAGCCAAGATGGCGCCACTGTACTCCAGCCTGGGCGACAGAGGGAAACTGTGTCTCAAAAAATAAGAAAGAAAAGAGAAATACTTGGAGCCCACTTTATATTTTAAATTACATTTATGGTCCTCTGTCCAGTTTTTTGTTTGGTTTTTGTTTTGAAACAGTCTTCCCTCTGTCACCCAGGCTGGAGTGAAGTGGCATGATCTTGGCACACTGCAGCCTCCATCACCTCCTAGGTTCAAGCGATTCTCATGCCTCAGCCTCCTGAGGAGCTGGAACCAGAGGCACACACCACCATGCCCAGCTCATTTTTATATTTTTTTAGTAGAAATGGGGCTTTGCCATGTTGGCCAGACTAGTCTTGAACTCTTGGCTTTAAGTGATCTGCCTACTTCAGCCTCCCAGAGTGCTAAGATTACAGGCATGAGCCACTGCACCTGGCCTCTCTGTCCAGGTTTTGATACAGTATTTGATGATGGACATCGCCTTCTAGTATTTAAAGAGAAAGGAAATCATGATGATTGTAAGTCTGCAGACCACATAATAAAGAATAGTCCTCCGTGCCTGAGGAAGATAGGAACATACATGAGACTTCCTTAGTCTATTTGCAGGGCTACCATGGGGAAAAGGAGTATGCTTGTTCTAGATTACTAGCAACAGATTTAGGTCTCTAGCTCCTCTTCTCTAAATGTAAGTCCCTGAACAGGAGAGATTTAGAAATGTGGGAGGGCATTTTTGGTTATAATAAACTAGGAAGGGTGACTACGGATGACGGCCAGAAACAGTAAATGTCTTTCAGTGCACCGGATTGCCCTGCATAAAACAGAGCTGTCCTGCCCAAGCGTGACTTGTTCTCCATTGAGAAACTTTGCTCCAGACACCAAAACCAGAACTGGAGGGTAGGAGTTGCAGGGAGACAGCTTTTAGATCGGTATAAGGAAGAACTTTCTAAATAGTTAGAACTGAAAACAGTATGGGTTGCCTCACAAGCATTCATGCAACCCTCAACTAAAAGTTCTTAGGAAACAGCTTGGATAATTCCAAGTGAAAAATATGGTAAATTTTTCTTTTTCTTTTCTTTTCTTTTTTTTTTGAGATAGAGTCTTATTCTGTCACCCAGGCTAGGTTGCAGCAGATAATGACTCATTGCAGCCTTGACCTCTTGGCCTCAAGCAGTCTTCCCACCTCAGCCTCTTAAGTAGCTGGGACTACAGGCATGCCCCACTGTGCCCAGCTGATTTTTTATTTTTTTGTATTTGCTGATTTCTCATCTGTGTTAACATGTTTATTTGTGATGATCCAAAGTCCAGACTAGGAATTAATACAACCTGTGTTCCTCTCTTGCAGATTTACACTCTAGACATCCACAGACCTGAGGATTGTTGGAATAAATTTATCTCCAACCGAACACTAGGACTAATACTTTTTTTAGGGATTGTCGTCGGGAATCTGTGTAAAGAAAAGAAGACAGACAAAACAAAGAAAAGTATAGAGAATAGAATAGAAAATCAATGAAGTTTATCTAGGATTTATTAAAACAAATTTTTACAAAATATAATTAGATTTGAGTACAAAACCTCTTACAATATGGTAAAGAACTAAAAACCTGAAGATGAAGATTTAGAGCATATTTACCTGGATTTTAATTCAATTATTTGCTAGCAGAATTCCCCCTTGTCACAGAAACCAGGGACTCTTCAGGATTTGATATGGCCTTGAGTATTTTAGTTGACATATTCTTCTGCCCATTAGAATTCTCTCCTGAAGTTATGGGGATTGTATGAGTTTGGGCACTTTAGAAAAAGCCTGATGTAGGTCTTATGTAAATGAATGTCTCTATAAGAAAATGGCCTCTTTTTTTAGGGAAAAATAAAAGTTGCTATGGGAAGTTGGGACTTATTGTTCTTTATTGTGTGTGACCTTTAGTCACTGCCAGAAACTGTAATTTAAGAAACCAGTTCTTTATTTAAAAAGGTATATGCCACAACTGAAAAAAGAAAAAAAAAAGAAACCAAGTCTGTTTCTTTATGTTTTAGGAGAATTTAGGCAAATTAAAGTATTTAGCTATTATGGCCACATGTACTACTGTTTACCAACCCTGACTTTTATTTGGGAGATTTGGTCTCTCTGCAGCCACAGTGACCAGAACAAACAAGCAGGCAGTCACCAGAGATTATCTTGATTTTCTGTCTGTATCTTTTTTATCTTAATCCCATTATAGTTTATAGGATAGTGATATGTTATTTAAATGTTTACTGTTTTTTCCTTTACCCACCCCCCACCTGCAGAATGTTCTCAACACAGTAGCCAGAGTAATTCTCTTAAAACCTAAATAAGGTCATACCATTCCTCTTCCCAGAACCCTCCAGGATCTCCCCAGGTCACTCAGTACAAACCAGTAGTCCTACCACCTGCCAGGCCCTCCGTGATCTGGCCTCACGTCTGACTTCTCACACTCACATCTTTAGCCACGCAGGCCTTACAGTTCCTTAAACAGGCTGGGTAGACTACTACTCCAGGGCCTTTGCTTTTACTGTTCACTTTGCCTGGAAAGTTCTCCCCAGATTTTGTCTTACTCCTTCACTGCAGAGCCTTTCTTAGATGTCACCTTCTCTAAGAGGCTTTTCTTAGCCACTTTCAAAAATCTCACAGATCAATACCACCCATACTTCCTATCCCCTTGCTTTTGTTTTTTCATTTTTTTCTCTTCAGCTCTTACTGTTACTAACCTAAATACTTGATTTAAATTGCTCTCATAGACAGTGGGCTGTAGGGCAGTCATTTGTGTATGTGGGTGTGGGCAGCAGTAAGTACTAAATTGCATGATGATGACGATGCTGATGAGGCAGCTGACAGGCACTTACGTATGCCAGGCACTGATAAGCATAGGAAAATTTATTTAACTGTTTACTCAGGACATACTGAGCCACTGGGAATGACCTGAGTCAGGTATAACAGCTGTAACTTTGCTGTAGCAGCAGTGAGTTGAAGGGGAGAAGAATTAGGAGCATAATACCCTGCTTTTGAGGAAATATGATTGGCTTTGATTTTAACAAATTCTGACTTTGCATCAGAATAGACAGTTTAAATCTGTGTTGATTTCTGTTTTCTTGCAGATATCACCCTGTATGTAAAATGCTTAAAACATCTTAACCCATTCCACTGTTTCCAATTTTAAAAGGATGAGTACAATGTACTTCAATTTTACAACATTCTCCTTAGTTGATAAAAGTTAAAATGGAACACATTTTTTTTTTTTTTTTTTTTGGCAGCCCCAGGGCAGGGGACCTCATGTAAACGGTAAGAGATCGTTGTTAAAAAAGAGAAAAGGATGAAGTAGATTATTGGTCTCTAGAACCACAGACTTAGAACTCGAATTGGAAAGACATACAGCAGTCATCCATCTAGTGTCAGGATTGTCAGTCCCCGGGAAAATTGAGAGGGGCATTGCCAGGAGTTTGACAGTTGAAATGACCAGCAATGCCTTGGGAATTTGTTCAGTGAGGAGGGCCCTTGCCCTACTCTTCTGCTTCAAAGTCACTGTGAGTTTGTCAATAGAAATTGTGTGAAAGAACTCTTTAAAACGTGGACGATTATCTAGCACAATTTCCTGATGTGGGTGGAGATAGAATGAAAGCTACAGAGTCTAAAAACTAAACAATTGAATGCAACTATCCCAGCTCTAACTAACCTGTCCTTGGAATTCCCAGAGCAATTCATGGGTGCCAGTGGAGCAGGAGCTATGAACATCATCATGGCGACAGCTTGCCAGGGTTGCAACCTGCTTTAACACCTATCACTCAGATGATCTTGGGCAAGTTCCCTGACCTCTCTGTGGCTCAAATGCTCAGGGATAATCATAATACCTTTCTCATGGATTTAAAATTGTTCTGTCTTCCCCTGTGAGAATGGAGATTTCAGGATAAGTGGGACCTTGTTTGACTTATTCATTGAAATATCCCCAATATACAATGTCACAAGGGCTGCCTCTCCCTCTTCCTGGATTTTTTTGCAAAATTGCTCAGTGCCTCTCCTAGATTTTCATAATCTGGCCTCACCCTACTGTTTCCTTCGTCTCAAAGTACACTCTCCACCCTCTGGGCTGGTTCTCTTCACCATCCACACATCATACTCATCCACTCCTCTCTGCCATCACAACTGTCCAGGCCCTTGGAAGCAGGCAGGCCTGCATTGAATCCTCCCTCTGATACTCGCCCTCTGGAAGGCCCCTGGGAGACAAGCGATAAACTCGTCTCAGCCACTTCCTCATCTCCAACCTGGGCTGTTGTCAGCATTTGTCGGCATGTGTTCAAGGCTGTTATGGGTTGAGTTGTGACCTCCCTCCAAAATTCAGATGTTAAAATCCTCACCCTCAGTACCTCAGAATGTAACTGTATTTGCAGATAAGATCTTTAAAGAGGTGATTATGTTAAAATGAGGTCTTTAGGGTGGGCCCTAATCCAATATAACTTGTGTTATATCTGATATGAAGAGGAAATTTGAACACAGACACTAGGCATGTGTACATGCAGAAGACAAATACACAGCAAGAAGATGGCCATCTGCAAGCCAAGGAGAGAAGCCTCAGAAGAAAGCACACTAGCATACACCTTGATCTCAGACTTACAGCCTTCAGAACTGTGAGAAAATAAATATCCATTGTTAAAGCTGCAGGAGCCTGTGGTATTTTATGGCAGACCTAACAAACTAACACAAAGCCCTGCTACTGGATCTGGCATGGGAAAGGCACTCCACAAATGCAGTTCACTAGAAAGCTCTCACTTTTCCACTTGAGTCCTACCCTTTTGTCCCACTGCATGGGTTCTGTCCCTCCCAGTGTCCACAACTGTGTAGGCTGAATAAAGCCCTCCCAAAGACATCCTCATAATCCCCAGAACCAGGGAATATGTAACCTTATATAGTAAAAGGGACTTTTGCAGATATGATTAACAATTATCTTGAGATAGGGAGACGATTGTGGTTTACCTAGGGATGCAGTGTATTAATGATCACAAAGGTCTTCTTAAGAGTAGAGTGAGATGATTAAAGGCAATAGTGGGAGATGTAGCAGAAGCAAGAGACCGGAGTGATTGGGGGGAAGGAGCCATGAGCCAGGGAATACAGATAGCCCAAGCTGAAAAAGACAGGGAAGCATAGTCTCCTCGGAACCTCCGGAGGAAGCCAGCCCTGCTGACACCTTAACTTTAGCCCAGTGAGACTGATTTTGACTTCTGATCTCCAGAACTGTAAGATAATGCATTTGTGTTGTTTTAAGCCACTAGATTTGTGGGAATTTGTTACAGCAGCAATAAGTAAATGAATAAAACCTATTCCAGCTCTAACTGACCTGCCCTCTGAATTCCCAGAGCACTTGATGAGTGCCAGTAGAGCAGGAGCTAAGAACGCCATCATGGCGACAGCTTGCCAGGGCTGGAATCTGCTTTAGCACCTACCAACCTACCAGTTGCGTGATCTTGGGAAAGTTCCCTGACCTCTCCGTGGTTCAAATACTCAAATAGGTATAATCATAATACCTTTCTCTTGGATTTAAAAATGTTCTGTCTTCCCCTGTGAGAATTGAGATTTCATAAGTGGGACCTTGTTTGTCTTATTCGTTGAAATATCCCCAATATACCACACTGTAAGCACTCAGTAAACATTTATAATTTTTGTACATCAGGTGAACTAATGTTAGAGTTACTTGTCAGACCTGGTGTTAGGTGCAACCATTAGAAATTGTTAATGCTGCTTGACAACATATAAAAAAGTTGACTGTGTGAGGTAACAACATAAAAATATTTCCATGTACGTACCATCAAAACTACGTAAGAATGTAAGTAATGCTACTCTCTGCCCACAGGGTGGCCTTGCTCTGCAGGAGCAGTCACAGAGCTGTAACACTGGAGCATAACACTGCCCTTTGGATAAAACTGTTTTCTTCTATCTGTGGCTTGCCCTTTGCCCTTCTTTCCTGGGCAAAGCCAAGAACGCTTGTGAACTGAGCCCCACTTTGGGGCTCATTTGCCCTGTATCAATGGTGACACCTATTTCTCAGGGTTAATGTATAGAGACTATGCAACACATTTAATATAGGTGCTGGCATACAGTAACTAATTTTAACTTTAGAAATGAATCAGGCCAGGAATTGTGTCTCATGCCTGTAATCCCAGCACTTTGGGAGGCCAAGACAGGTGGATCACTTGAGGTCAGGAGTTTGAGACCAGCGTGGGCAACGTGGTGAAAGCACATCTCTACTAAAAATACGGAAAAAAAAAAAAAAAATAGCCAGGCTTGGTGGCAAATGCCTGTAATCAATCCAGCTACTCAGGAGGGTGAGGCATAAGAATTGCTTTAACCTGGGAGGCAGAGGTTGCAGTAAGCCAAGATCATGCCACTGCACTCCAGCCTGGGTGACAGAGTGAGACTCCCTCTCAAAAAAAAAAAAAAAAAAAGTAAGACTGAAGAGTTCAGAACAGCCCATGTGGTGTGGCAGGAGGTACTGAGGCAATTTGTATTCCTTTTATGTAAAAAAATAAAAAGAAAAGAAAAAATACATATAGGTAATGAAAGCTAAAGACACAAATGAAAAGGTTATCCGCTGGGCGTGGTGGCTCACGCCTGTAATCCCAGCACTTTGGGAGGCCGAGGCGGGTGGATCACGAGGTCAAGAGATCGAGACCATCTTGGTCAACATTGTGAAACCCCGTCTCTACTAAAAAATACAAAAAATTAGCTGGGCATGGTGGCGCATGCCTGTAATCCCAGCTACTCAGGAGGCTGAGGCAGGAGAATTGCCTGAACCCAGGAGGCGGAGGTTGCGGTGAGCAGAGATTGCGCCATTGCATTCCAGCCTGGGTAACAAGAGCGGTAACAAGCCTGGGTAACAAA